TTGTCATCTTGTCATCTTGTCATCTTGCCAACTTGTCAACTTGCCATCTTGTCATCTCGCCATCTTGTCATCTTGTCATCTTGTCATCTTGTCATCTTATCATCTTGTCATCTTGTCATCTTGCCATCTTGTCAACTTGCCATCTTGCCATCTTGCCATCTTGTCATCTTGTCATCTTGTCATCTTGTCATCTTGTCATCTTGTCATCTTGTCATCTTGTTATCTTGTCATCTTGTCATCAAGTGTGTCACGTGACCCCGAAAGATACTATTCTAAAACAAAGAGCCAAATAATAGATATAGTCAGACTTGAATGACGATAAAGAAGTTCACATTCTATTTCAAGGATTCTACGCCTGACCGATAGATACTCACTCCTCCATTTGAGGTGAAAATTTTCACATATCGTTGTCCGCAAAAGCTATCAATTACGAGAAGCGAACATACAGTGTAAGCTCTTTTAGGAAGATTTTTTATTTAGTTTTAACTTAGTGTATATATATTTTAATTACTTTGACAATTGCAAATGTGAGAATGTTGAATGAAAACAGAAAATGTGTACGTCAAATGCCATCTGATATTCACCAGGAGCTACCAGGTTTGGCTGCATCGCCAATCGCGTGCGACAAAATTTCTTGATGGATTTGAAAAACATGAGCTTGATATGACGACGTTTAAGTTTTTTTGTGTGCAACCTTAAAAGATACCTTGATGGGTAAAAAAAAAAAACAAATTAGAGTTCCATCTTGAGTCACCTATGAAACCAAACTCCGCAGTTGTAGAACAACAATTACATGTAAAAAGAAACCCACCATACTCACGCCTTTTTCGGATGGGACTTCACCAGGCTTTTTGGTAGAACTGCTTTGTCTCTCATTCTTTGGTAAATAGAGTCACCGAGTCCCAGGATGTCACGTGAGTGGACCAACCCGGTTTACGGTTGTTGCTGGAACGGACAAGAAGCTACTGGGCCTAACAAGCAAGGATGCCCACGTGAGGTTTTTTTTTCACATCAACTCTTCGTTACAAGCCAAGTAAATTGTTCTATGTCTATCCGTTTTTCCTCTGCAAATATGGTGGCGAACGTTATAAGGATTTACGAACTTGTCTGTGTTCCTGCTCCTTCTTCTCCTCTTCCTTAGTCCTTCTCCATTTCCTTCCTATTTCTCCTATTTTTTTTTTTTTTATAAATTTGTCGCCTTGCCTTCTTCTCTTTCTCTTTCTCTTTCTCAATACTACTCCTCTGTTTTCTTCCAGCTCGTTCTCCTGCTCTTACTTGTTACTTTTCCTGTTGTTATGCTCCTTTTCCTTCATATTCTTCTGTTGTAACTCCCTTTGTCAAACAAAAAAAGTACAACTACGGGTTAAAATGGCAATTTATCGTATTCGTTTGCTTGTTTCTGTTTTTTGTTTTTGTTTTTGTTTTTGTTTTTGTTTTTTTACTTTTGATATGTAGCTTGTGCCGATGCATACCCCAGGGCTTGTAGACTTTGGAAGTCACAATGCGGCAAAACAAAGTTCTATAACATGCGAACCTTCTTGGAAACTATGTGCCCCCTGACCTGTGGACAATGCAGGATAAGTTCCTTTGCTGGTACGCATTAAAATTTAATTCAGAATATGACACGAAAATATCACGCACTTGGTAGAAATCTCAACATTAAAGCTAAATGGACCACGCATTAATTTTAGAAATGCATGCATGCATTGAATTTAGAATTGCAACCCAACAACTATTATAGAAAGGTCATGTGTTTAAAAAAGGTATATCACGCAATGAAATTAGATATTTCAAGATAAGATGTGTTACGCATACATCGAGATGTGTCACACATTAAAATTAGTTTGTCACGCATTAAAAAAAAAAAACGTTTAATTGGATGCCTCAAATTTAAAAATCAGATTTGTCACATCATCTTATTAGATGTATCATGCCTTGAAACTAGGCCTCAGCCTGAAATAGGCCGCTAAAGTTACTATGCATGATATTGCTGCTAAAGCATGATTTTGCGAGCGAAAGCCGATCCTTATACGAAAAATTTCGTCTGAGCAGCTAATCATTTTGTGAATAAGAGTTAGATGTCATCAGTCACTAACGGTGCACGTGTTGCTTTTCCAGGATAAGGCGTCAAAACAGGTCAAGTCGTCTTCAGCTGCCAGTTTTCAAATGCTCTACAGTAATTAATTAACGTCTCCTGGAAGTGATTTTACAGTAAAGAATGCAAAAAGGATGTACTCATATTTCATATAATATTTTGAAACTGGATGTCAGGGAGTTCTCAAATTCAATAAAATATAAGAGATAATGCACTGCGTGGTCGTCGTTATCAACATGACTGCTCATCAACCAATCGAAAACCAGTGTACACACATTGAGCAATTCTAAACTTCTGTTGCACGATACGCAACAAGACCATCTCTTTGTCAACTTGCTTCCTTTGGGAAACACTTTGATGAAAACCAAGAGATCATCAAGGTAAGAGAGTGAATCCCTCATATTGGTCCTCTAACTAAGGTTATCCCTCTTAAGTTACTTTTAGACGTTGTACCCAGTTCTTCCGCGGATATTACTCGCGCGTTGCGTGGATGTTTTCGTGGAGAATCTGTTTATGTCGTTTCGTTTCGTTTAAAAACAAAGAAAAACCTCCAACGCTGTGGGGATGTCTTCTTTGATATTTTGGTTACAAGCAAGGGAGCTTCGGCTCTCGGTATGTTTTAATACATTTCGAAACTTTAATAGGAGTTTAAATATGAGGCAGATGTCCCCTGCACAAACAATAACAACTAAATGAACGGCAGAGAAATGTTTAGACAAACGAGTGCAAATCAAACAAACGCCCAAACACAAGTTAGGCAACCGAACAAACAGATGGTCGAAAGTGCAGGCAGACGCTCGCTGTCCAAGTAGCAAAAAGCAGTTTAAGCAGCAACGGCAACAACGCCAAAGACAGCGTCGATTAAAAAACGACTTAATATTCAACCCACAGATCTCGCGAGAATTTAGATTCATTCAGTTTGTCTTTACTGTCAGAAATATCCCAAACATAATATGTAAGATGGTATCAAAATTCGAAAAAGAAATTTTAAAAATTGGCCGTCGTATAGTTCGCGTTCTCTCGAATATGCAGAATGTGGCTATTTCACGTTGTTGTTTTGTGACCTTTTGTAAACAACGTTAAAGAAATGAACAAAGAATTATAACGCACGCTTACACAGCCATCGTTGCCGTTGCCGTTAAATTTTGCTTAATCAAACTCCCTAAAACCGAATAAACGGCCAAATAATGAATAGCCAAACGAGCACAAAACAAACGAAAGCCCGGCTGAACAAAAAGACGGCTGTGAGCGCGGAAAACATCTCTGATATGAAAAGAAATTAAAACATATGGGAGATTCACTCTCTTACCTTGATAATCTCTTGTGAAAACCCATTAACTGTGGATTGGAGGTGCACTTAATTAAAGGTGGGAATTGAAAATGTTAGGATGAAGTCAACAACTAGATCAAAGCTCGTAATCCTAACAAACTAATAAGTCCAATAAGCTTGAAGTAGTGTAAGGTGAGGGACCCTTCATGCTACCTGTACCTGAGGTAGGAGTAAAAACAGTCTGAGCGACAGTTATTAAGTACGATGCCAGATCATCATAAAAAAAATTTAAAATAGGTCAGAAACTGAAGATGTTATAGAAAATCCACTTTCTATTTTATTTAGGTAACTCAATTCAAATGCATAGATTATCAACAAAGGAAACGACAAACAGTACGCCATTTTCCACAGAACACCAAGTTCCTTATTAAAATTTAACTGTGTGAGAAAATATCTAAATTATGCAAACCTAAACTTACTCTCTATAAAGCCTATATAATAAACATAATATCAATGAGATAATCAAAAATCGAGAAAATAAAATAATGTATCATATTATATGATAAAAATATTTTACACAGAAAAAGCAATGTTTTTTTTTTGAGATGTTTTGTTATCGATGGCATAAGTTTATGGTCATTGGCAATCTGTCTGGATGTTATCCGTTCTTTGTTGTTTTGGTTACCTCAAAAAAAATATCACTTCATAACTTTAATGCCAAAATTGTACCCATCAGAAATACTCTGATTTATTACTAGTGTTCGTGAGAAGCTGTCACCCAGCTTGTGTAAACCTAATTCCATTCAATGCTGAAGCTAAGGGTGCCCATTTATCAGACTTTTTTGACTTCACAATAAAAGGGCAATTTAATTCAAACCTAATCGCTAATCAAAATCCAGGGTTGATAGCGAATTTAGAACTATTTATGTTACAGAAAAAAGAAACTCTGGAAATTGCCCTAGTTCAATTCTGGTTCCATTGCTACTCTCAGTACTTTTCTGAAAACTAAATGTAACTCCTGAACACAGCACAGATTTTCTACCATCTACACCAAAACAAGAATTGGCACCCGAGATGGAAGCTTCAATCCGGTACAAGCTGCCCTTCATTATCACAACAGGACTGTCGAAGAAAATATTGAAGCCATAGTAAGAGACTAGTTCTGATGACTGGATACACACAGAAGAAAATTTGCCTGATTTAATCCAAGGAAAACGGCAATTATTTGCCAAATTTGTTATTGTAATAGCAACAGAATAATTACAATTTTTGCCTCCGCAGAGTGTTACTCCAACTAAGGAGATGTCTTTGTCGACCGTAAAAACAAGACAGTCTCTTTTATCAGCTGCATAGGGATAACCTGAGCCAGTGTGAACCACGGAACCAAATCTGCGACAACGCTGAAAGGATTCCTTATTTCTAATTCTCTTCTTCTCGGAAAATCCTACTGGATTGTCTGGGACCGAATTAAAATATTTTACTACGCTAAAAGCCTCGTCTGGGGTCAGTATCTTGCAGTCAAGAACAACAGAAGCAAATTCATGTTGGGTCATCACGGGAAAACGTATTCCTTTCACAATCCGTTCGCCGAGAATTCTTCTTTTTTCACTTCCATCTGTCGATAAGCCTTGTTCTTCACATCTCTTTGTCGCCCAAAAATTCACTGCTTTGAACAACTCTATCTCTTGAATATTCAAAGTGTCACGCTCCACTACTGCTTCAAATAAAGACTTCTCAATTGTCGCAAACTCATCTGATTTCACAGCCTCCTCTGTTTATTCATCGATCACATCCCAGCAATGGTCCACCAGTTTTTTCTCTTCATATTTCTGCGCTTGTGTCAAGATTCCGAAAACAGTCGATGCATCCAAGTTACCTTGAAGATATTCCGCACATTTATCAGCCAGTGAAGGAACCGTGTATTTCTTCGCCAAATACAACACTCC